ATTCGAGCAAAAATCTAGGAATGAACACTCAGAAAATGTGGACTCCAGAGAAATGGGGTCAGTGCTTTGAACTTAAAAGTTAAAGCCTTGCTTGTACAGGAAGAAAAGAAATAAATTTAACAGAATTATATTTCCTATACAAGGCTGGTTTATGAGTTACAATAATTTAATCACAGTTTGTTTTCTGAAAGACTTGTTTTCTTTTTCTCTCCAGCTGATAAGAGTATATTTAACATTCCATCTTAGAGCCGGGCTCGGTGGCTCAGCCTGTCATCCCGCGCCTTTGGGAGGCTGAGGTGAATGGATTGCCTGAGCCTGCGGGTTCGAGACCCTCCTCGGAAGGCGGAGGTGGAAGGATCGCCGGAGCCCAGCAGGGCGAGGCTGCGGGGAACGGGAGCGGCCACTGCACTCCAGTCTGGGCGACTGAGTAAGACTCTGACTCAAAAAAGAGAACATTCCATCTTAGACAATGCATTGGCCATAAAGCGTCCGTGTGAAAGAGGTAAGAAGGAAGTTAATCTACAATGAAGACCGACAGAGAAGAGGAAAAGGATCTTCCCTGGCACCCTTTAGCCATTTATGACATTTTACAAAGCGATGTAGATAAGGAAGAAGGCCAGTCTATAATAAGAGAAACAAAGGTAACAGCTACCTAGGTTACAGACTGCCCGTCACATCACTCAGATCCCATAATCATATTCCGGGGGCCAGGCTCAGTGGCTCAGCCTATAATCCCAGTCTTTGGGAGGCCGAGGCAAGAGGATTGCCTGAGCCCATGGGTTCGTGACCAGCCCGGGCAACTTGACAAGACCTCGTCTCTACAATAAATAAAAAATTAGCCGGGCATGATAGCGTGTGCCTATAGTTCCGGCTACTCGGAAGGCTGAGGCAGAAGGATCGTCTGAGCTCAGCAGGTGGGCGCTGGGGTGGCCGTGAGTGTGCCACTGCACTCCAACCTGGGCGGCAGAGTGAGCCTCCAACTCAAAAAAAAAAATCATATTCTTTTAGGGCTCAAAATAATTTAAAAGTCAACAGCTCAGTTTTTTAAGTACTTATTTTCACACCTGTTTACATGCCTAACTCGTAGCATCAGAGAGCATTAAGAGCTGGTGGCACCACTATGTGTTGGGGTGATCAGCTACACAGCAACAGCACCTGAGATAGGCCTCGAGGGACTCCTGCTTGGGCAGTTGTGGTGTAAATTGACTTGACATTTTAGAAGGTAGTGGGAATTTCAGTGGCACTTTGAAGAATCACAGGCAGATTCTATGTAGAAAGAATTTTAATGAACAAGAGAAGAGAGAAATTACTTTGAGCCCTTGCCCTAGGTGCTTTACAAATATTGTACTGTTTGATTGTCTTCATGGCCTCATAAGATAGGACGATTCTACAAAGGAGAAAACTGGTTCTTCAGAAGATTAAGTTCTGACCACCAAAGGCTACATAGTAACAGCTGGCCCAGACCGGACTCAAACCAGGGCCTGACAACCGAGTTGCAACCCTGCCAAACTACCTGCCTGTTCATTGGCTGTGTTTGTGTTACGTTTTGTATGTTTGTTTGAGGAGCTGAAAACAACCCGAAAGCCCAACAACATGTCATGGTATATCGCTTCTTTAATACAATGCAGCTAGCTATGTTGCAAAAGATAAAAATATAAAAGCATTACATATGCAAGAAAAGAACACAAGTATAAAATAGTGTTAATGAGAAAAGTAAAACACAAGCTTCTACATAGGCCTATGTGGGAAAAGAAAGAGCAATATATACATAGTTGCTTTCACGAGAAGGGTAGCTTTTGGTTGGTGTTTTGGGCTGAATTGTGTCCCTCCCAATATATATAAACTAAAGCCCTAACTCCAACACCCTAGAATGTGACTATATTTGAAGATCAGACTTTTAAACAGGGAATTAAGTCAATAGGCGAGCCCTAATCCAATATGACTGGCGTCCTTACAAGAAGAGGAGATGAGGACAGAGACACACACAGAGGGAAGACCATATGGGGACACAGGAAGAAGCCCGCCATCTGCAAGCCAAGGAGAGAGGTCTCAGAAGAAACTAACCCTGGTGACGCTTTGATCTTGGGCTTCCAGCCTCAAGAACTGTGAGACAATAAATTTCTGTTGTTTAAGCTATGCAGTCTGTGGTGCTATGTTAAGGCCACTTGGTATTGTATTGTAATAATTTAAATTTAAGTTGAGCCAGGTATCATGAAAGCCCTCTGCTTCAGTGATGAGTATTTTTTTTAACCTTACTGCCAAGGGTGGTCAACAGTCTCTTAAGGCACTAGAATGTTATTGTTTATGAATTCACTTGAGCAGCCCAGAAGCCACCAGGGTTTAAATCTAGCAGGCTTTGAAAAATAATACAAGAAAGGCTACTTGCTATCACAAGTACTTTATTATTTTTTCTTCTGAAAATCTGCAGAGCATATGTGTGAAATTGTATCTCTATTTAGAGTGTTGTTGCTTCCTAAGGCTCAGCTGCTCTCCCTTCGCTGGTGGGGAGGGAGGGGAGGGAGGGAATTCACCCAGCCCTAACTGTACCATATTTTGTCTCACTTCAAATCACCTCCCTGCATGGCCTCAGGCTGTGTGAGATGCATGAAATCAGCCTTCTAAAAAGTTCCCAATTACAGGTTGTCCTCCCTGGGAGGGGAGGTGAATTTTTTATTGATTTTTGCTGTCACATTCAATCTGGGTTCTAAATACCCGGTCTCCAGCATGGCCACAGGCACAGAGGGGACTGGAGATGGCCTAATGGTGTGAAGAGAACAAATATTAATATCTAAATGCCGTAGGGTTACCTATTGAAATGGTCTCAGCTGGTAACGCAATTGCACACCGAAATAAGCAAAAACATAAAATCTACCCAAAAACTGAACTTGGAGGAATTCTGGAAAGGGCAAGACAAGTAGACCTCTGGAAGAGTCTGCAGCCCTGACCCTTCACGTTGATTCCTGTTCTGAAGAATCACTTCCCTTCAGGTCTCAGGAAGCATGGTTTTTCTTCCCAGAGGCCACTGTGGGTGTCTGCCACCCCACACTCTATGACCTGGAGGAAGGAGGGTTGTGCTATATTCAATTTGTATTGTCAACATGATCCTGGGAACATAGTGTTCATTGAGTGTATGAATGAATGCAGGAATTAACAAATGAGTTTAGTCTAACAAGCCCTTACCCAGAAAAACAACATATATACTCTAAGAATAACCACATGGAATGAGACTAGACTTATGTTCTCATCCAACTTTATAGCTAAGCTTGGGGTTTTTTTCATGTATTTACTGTTTGGTTTTTCCCATAGGTCTGTGCTTCGGTGAGTGAATGCTTTGCAAATGACACCCTTAGCTGCTTGAGCCCACCTCCCCTCCCCTGGCCTTCAACAGGTATCTCTCTGTGCTCCACTTCTTTCCTTCTCCCCCACCCATGTCTCCTTCTCAGATAGCATGTCCAGAGATAGTGCGTGGTCCACTGTGGGTGGGGAAGTGGTTCTAGGAACAGAATTCACCAGGGTCAGGGGAGTAGCAAAAAGAAAAGCCAGAGCAGGAACTTGGTAATAAAGCCATAAGTGAGCTTCTTTTTCAGTGCAACACTCTACAGTGGCTACTTTAATTACTCTGATAATGACTGCTCAAACCCCTTTACTTCTCTGAGCCTCAATTTCTTCATTTGTAAATTAGGGATAAAGCATCAGTCTTGCATTAGCTTTGTGGCGAGAACTGAATAAGAGAATAGAATTTGGAAATACTTTGTAAACTGTAACTCATTATGCAGATATAAATAATAATAATAATAATTTATTATTATAATAATTATTATAATTATTATTATTATGCAAAGACCTCCACTACTCTTCTTTGATCTTCAGAAAAACCTGTGGTGCATAAAAGAAGCACCACCTTTGTATTATGAATTAACTGATTGTTTAAAACTAATTGACATTCTTTTCTCCTCCTCATTTTGTCCAACTCATCCAGAAAACCATAGTTGTACCATCTACTACTGCTTTTTGTGTTACTAATTGTTTTCAGTTGTTCCATATAGATGAAATGAGATGGTATATCGGAGAAACCTGGAAATTCTAAAGGGCGGTACACATGAAGATGGAATTTTAGAGGCTCTGTGCATTGATTCCCAGTGTTGACAAAAGATGCCAAACTCTGTAAAATACTTCAGATGGTTTATTCTGAGCCAAATGTCACTATTCTTAGGCAAGTGACACAGTCGCAGGAGATTCTAAGAACCGTGTGCCTGCCATGGTTACGTTGTAACTTGATTATATACCTTTTGAGGAGGGCAGAAGTTATAGAAGACCATAAATCAATATATGGGAGCTTTGTACGGTTTGTGCAGGAAGGCGGGATATCTTTAAGCAGGACTTGCAGGTTATAGGTGGATTCAGAGAATTCCTGACTGGTGGTGAGTTAGCTAGGGCTATCTAGAGAATTTTGAAGGCAATAAAGGAAATAGGCAGCTTGGGGAATGATAAGGGAGTCATGATTTTTGATATGTAGATGAAACTTCATAGGTGAGGGACTTCAGAGAGAATAAGAATAGGTAAGTGTCTTGGAAGGTGCCTGGGCCGGGGCATGATGGCTCACGCCTATAATTCCAGCACTTTAGGAGGCTGAGGCAGGAGGATTGCTTGATGTCAGGAGTTCAGAATCAGCCAACCAACACAGTGACCTCACCTCTACAAAAAGTAAAAAAAATTAGCTGGGTATGGTGGTATGCCTGTAGTCTCAGTTACTCAGGAGGCTGAGGTGGGAGGACTACTAGAGTTCAGGAGTTGAAAGCGGCAGTGAGTTGTGATTTTGCCACTGCACTCCGGCCTGAGTGACAGAGTGAGATCCCCAACTCAAAAAAAAAAAAAGAAAAAAGAAAGAAAAAGAAAAAAAAAGGCACTTCTGCTTCGGTTCCCAGCATCCTGTGCGGCTGGAGTTGGGTGCTCAGGTGAGTGAGCTGTGGTGTCACTGGGTTCCAGGAGACTAAAGCTCCAGCCAGGATGACCGAGGTTGTCTGCAACGGCCATCTAGGGAAAAGGGTCTGTGTTAAATGCAACACCGATGACACCATCGGGGACCTTAAGAAGCTAATTGCAGCCCAGACTGGCACTCGTTGGAACAAGATTGTCCTGAAGAAGGGGTACAGGATTTTTAAGAACCACGTGTCTCTGGGAGACTGTGAAATCCACAATAGCATGAACCTGGAACTTTATTATCAGCAGATTCCTTTTTTCTGCCATCTCACCCCCCATACTGTATAGATGCTTGTTTTTTAAAACTCACATTAATAAAAACTTAAATGCTAAAAAAAAAAAGGAAAGAAAGCCTGGAGTCCCAAACACAGCTTTACAGGGTCATAAAATACTTTGATTTTCCTTCTTTATGTTATGTGCTGTTATGCCAGAGTCAGGTTGGAAAGCAAACTACAATATATAGTTAATAAAAAAAAAAATCCAGATTGCCTGAGCCCGTGGGTTCGAGACCAGCCTGGGCAACTTGGCGAGACCTCATCTCTACAATCAATCAAAAAGTAGGCAGGCGTGGTAGCGCGTGCCTGTAATTCCAGCTACTCGGAAGGCTGAGGCAGAAGGATCGCTGGAGCCCAGCAGGTTGAGGCTGCGGTGGCCGGGAGCGTGCCACTGCCCTCCAGTCTGGGTGGCAGAGTGAGACTCCAACTCAAAAAAAAACAACAACAAAATCCATCACTCCAGTTCCCTTAGTAAGGAAATTAGCAAGGTAAAGCAAAAAGGTCAGGAACTGAGGAGAAAGCATCTTCAACCGCAGTGTGGCACTAGCCAGGTATGTACAGAGGTTGATTTAAGGCTCAAGTTGGTTTTGGATCCATTTGGCCACTGAAATGGAGAGCAAGTCCTGAGGCTGTTGGGTGTCAGGAAAACTAGCTCCCAGGCTTGGTGCTCCAAGTTCCTGGGAGGGATATTGACTCATCACTGGCCTAACAGATTCAGCCCACGGTTCTGCTGGCAGCTTGAAGGTCTTCAGTAGCTGGGGACTGATCTCACCTGCAGGGCTTCCCTGCTTGACCATGCTAGGTGCTGTCTGCTAGGCCGTGGGTGGATGGCGGGACCTGTCAGGAAACACGATGTGGGCCCGTTAGAGGATGGGGTGGGGATTCACAGCCCAAATGGAAGGTCAAGACTTGTAAACCCAAGAGGCCAAGCGCAGAAGTAAGGAGGAGGGAGGGTGCAGTAGTCGCTTCATCACTCCGAGCAAAAACAAAAAAACCCCACAGAGGTAACATTCTACCCCAGAACTGAAAAGGAGGTTAGACTTTGTAGTGGAAGCAGAAATGATGGAATTCAATGACAAGATGAGATGGGTGTGTGGTCACGGCCACTCAGGATGGTAGTTTTAAAGTGGCAGCCGATCTGAGTCCACTGCTTCAGCGGCCCCTGTCTATGTGATAGACATGGCGTGGTGGCAAGAGTCTGAAGGGATGTGAGGACACAGCAAATGCTTGGCATCCATCTTGCGTCAGCCAGTCAGGAAGGAAGTGGGGCGCAAAAGCAGTCCACGATGCCTTGGTGGGTGAGCCAAGGGCTTAGGGCCAAAGCTGAGGGTAGCATTCAGGGAATTAATACACCATGGGTATCTTTTATTTTTTTATTTTTTTATTTTTTGAGTTGGAGTCTCGCTCTGTCGCCCAGACTGGAGTGCAGTGGCCGCTCCCGGCCACCGCAGCCTCGACCTGCTGGGCTCTGGCGATCCTTCTGCCTCAGCCTTTCAAGTAGCCGGAATTACAGGCACGCGCTACCACGCCCGGCTGATTTTTTGATTTATTGTAGAGATGAGGTCTCGCTGCCCAGGCGGGTCTCAAACTCACGGGCTCAGGCCATCCACTCACCTCGGCCTCCCAAAGCGGGGGATTACAGGCTGAGCCACTGAGCCCGGCCCACCATGGGTATCTTAATATAGGCTTCATTATTATGATGTTGGTTTCATTATTATTTAGCTATGGTAACAGTAAGGCCCACAGATCCGCAAATAACTGCTGTTGAAAAGAAAATCTGTCACTCACAGAACCAAGAAGGGGGAGCATTCCTAGCCATGTGGGGCTACCTGGGAAAGCCCTGGTGTTGGCCAGGCGGCGGAGGGGAGAGGGAGCACTGGGGAAAGAGCCTTTACCAGAAGGAACAGGCAGGGCAGCACAAGTGTCCTTCTGACTGTCTAGTTTGAATAACGTCAGCAGGCTCTGGGGCAAAGGAGCTGTCCCTGGTTGTCTGGTACCTGACTGTGGGGTAATTGGGGTGGATACATAGTGGCCCGATGAGAGAGGCCGATAGGGAGGTGGGTTCTGGCTCGGTTGGTTTGCATCTGAAGGGTACTTGTGACTGAGTCCTTCACTCCTTCCGGGAACTCGTTGACCTGGGAGGGGCAGTTCCTCAAGGGGCCACAAGGCCTTAAGGCGTCAAGGCGGTAGAATACAGAGAATAACAGACGTGGCTACCACAATGTGAGTGCGTAAGGGGAGGCTAGAGAGAGTGGGCCGCACAGAGGAAACGAGAGGGAGTGTGTCCAGCGTGAAACTCCGTCGCTGTGTCTGGCCCCTCTCCCGAGGCCCAGGCCCAGGCCCGCAAGTCCCTCAGCCGTTGCGTGCAGCCCGGCCCGCTGCCGTTTGTCCAGGACTGCCGTTTAGACGGAGAATGGGAGGAGGCAGGACATTTTCACGCAGCCCTTTGACTAAATGGCCACCGCAGAAGGTGAACACATTTTGCGGGGTTGTTGTTAGTAAGATTTTTAAGCTCATGCTAAGGCATATGTTGTGTGGGTTTCATCATTTTGTGTACAAGTGAATTCATCAGTGGCTGCAACAGTTTTTTAATTTTTTTTTTTTTTTTGAGTTGGAGTCTCACTCTGTCGCTCAGACTGGAGTGCAGTGGCTGCTCCCGGCCACCACAGCCTCGACCTGCTGGGCTCTGGCGATCCTTCTGCCTCAGCCTTCCAAGTAGCTGGAACGACAGGCACGCACTACCACTCCTGGCTAATTTTTGATTTATTGTAGAGATGAGGTCTCGCCTGCCCAGGCGGGTCTCGAACCCGCGGGCTCAGGCAATCCACTCACCTCAGCCTCCCAAAGGCGCGGGATTACAGGCTGAGCCACCGAGCCCGGCCACATCTGCCTTTTTATACACAAGGAAGCTAAGACTCCAAGAAATCCCTGTAATGCATTCAAAAATGGTATCAGGCCAGGCACAAGGATTGCCTGAGCCCAGGGGTTCGAGACCAGCCTGGGTAAGTTGGAGGGACCTTGTCTCTACAATGAATAAGTAAACAAATAAATAAGTAAATAAATACATAAGTAAATAATAGTTGGGTGTGGTGACATGCACCTGTGGTTCCAGTTACTTGGAAGGCTGAGGCGGAAGGATTGCAGGCTGAGGCTGTGGTCGCTACGAGCCTGCCACTGCATTCCAGACTGGGTAACAGAGTGAAACTCCAACCGAAAAAAATAAAATAAAATGATATCAATAGATGCAACAGGCAACCCAAGCACTCACCACCTCCAGCGTCACCTCATCCTGACAAGGCTGGGGCAGGTAGGATCAGGATGACTACTTGACCCATTATTCAATAAAAATAAAACCAGGAGTGTCATGCTTTTAAAAAATCATACAACAGATTCAGATGAATCTTTCAGTTACCTCAAGGTGAGAAATAGTTTTTCTTTTTCTTTTTTTTTTTTTGAGTTGGAGTCTCACTCTGTCGCCCAGGCTGGAGTGAATGCAGTGGCTCACCCACAGCCACCCCAGCTTCGACCTCTAGGCTCTAGCGGTCCTTCCGCCTCAGCCTTCCAAGTTGCCAGAACTACAGGCATGCACCTACCACGCCCAGCTAATTGTTGATTTATTGTAGAGACGAGGTCTCACCAAGTTGCCTGGGCTGGTCTTGAACCCGTGGACTCAGGCAATCCACTCGTCTCGGCCTCCCAACGTGCTGGAATTACAGGCTGAGCCACTGAGCCCGGCCGAGAAATAGTTTTTAAAGCATGTCACCAAAAGTTAGGAAAAGAAGCCACGTTCCTAAAAGACAGGCAGATTTGACCACTGAAATAGGGAATTATTTTTATTTTTTTTGTATGCCCAGCAGCCAAAGCCTCTTGATCCTTGAAGGAATCCCTTGTTGTGGATGACCTAGCAGGAAGCAGAGCTCTGGTTTCCTGCCACAGAAGTTGTTCTAACACCAATTCTGTGACATCAGCCACGTGTCCAGCAATTTAATTCAAATCTAGTGCTTACCATCCAGGCTTAGCACACACCCTGCCGTTTTAAGGACTCACTCCTCTCTAAGACAGCCCTCACTTCAGATGCCAGCCTCAACTCTTGGGGACTGCCTGCTTCTTTCACCAACCAGTTAGTTATAAATCCGGGGCCCTCCCCAGGTTTGATACTTGGCTAAAGTGACTCGCAGAACTCACTGAAAGTGCTGTATGTAAGGCTACAGTTTTACTGTAAAGGATAGAAACAAGCAGATGAAGATGGGCTAGAGATCTGGCAGGATTCGTTTCCCACAACACAAGTCACAAGGCCTGCCTGACCAGGGACCTCACTGACAAGACAGGACGCAGTGAGGAGACTGGCCAAAGCCCGCGGAGACCAGCTGAGATCAAGATGGCATCGAAAATGACCTCTGGCCGGGCCCAGTGGGTCACGCCTATAATCCCAGCACTTTGGGAGGCCGAGATGAGAGGACTGCTTGAGCTCATGGGTCCGAGACCAGCCTGGGCAACTTGGTGCAACCTCAGCTCTACAGAAAATCACAAAAATAACTCGCCAGGGGTGGTGGTGTGCGTCTGTAGTTCCAGCTACTTGGAAGGCTGAGGCGGAAGGATCCCCTGAGTCCAGCAGGTCGAGGCTGTGGTGGCCATGAGCGTGCCACTGCACTGCAGCCTGGGCAACAGAGTGAGTCTCAAAAAAACAAAAACGAAAATGACCTCTAAAAGACACCCCTGCCAGCGCCATGACAGTTTACAATAACCAAGGCAACTCCCCCAAATTTCTCTAGATGATTCAAAAAGGGGAGGAACCTTAGAGTCGGGAACATCCCCCCACCCCCGCCAGCGTTTCCAAGAAAGCCCATGAATATTCCATGCCAGCAAGGTACAGCTGCCATTCTCCTTATAGACCAGCCCAAGCTGCTCTGCCTATGGAGTGCCTGCTCGCTGTCATTTCAACAAACTCGCCTTTCTTTTCCAACTGAAATCCCAGCAACATACAGGGGCTGCTCTGCCTGTAGTCTTCCTTCT